CATGTTGTGTTAAACAGCACGATGTCGGGCGAAGTGGACGCAGCAGGACTTCAGCATGCTGGCCTGGTTGCGGGTTGCGACAGCGACTTCGAAGCAGCACTTGCAGCTCTGAAATACTCGATTGTCGCAAGTCTGCTCGAAGGGGTTCAGTGGCTCCGTAGCTTGGCTGTTAGTTTAGGCATGTTCAGGGCAATGCGAGACACTGCTTGGTGTACAATAGCATCGTGGCATTGAACGTTACTGTTGACATACGCGTGCAAGCCTGGATGATGCCTTTCAAATGAGCATTCCACATGTGCAATATCCACTGTGGCAATGGCTCCACCAAGAGAACAAGACCCAGAAACCATACCATCATGCGCAGCAAGATCTTGAAGAGAGCATGTGAATTTTCGCAAGGCATTGGTTGTTTTGCAGCCCAGGAGACGTTCCACAATGGATTTTTGCACTTGGGGGACCTGGGGGCTAGTCTGTGAAGCAGCGATGGTACACAGCATAGGCGGGGTGTTGAAAGTTTTGCTTGTTTTGGCTTGGATTGGCTCGGCTTTCGCGGGGGTGAGGGGCGGGGGGAACCTTGCCAATGAAGGAGGGGCAATCCCGACGCATCAAAGGGCTAGAGACCCAGCAGACCACCAGCGTCCATGCAGTCTTTTGTTGGCCTAGTCAGAGCAAAGCGCACCTATTGGCACATAGTTTTTGCAGAAACGATGGTGTAAAAAATTGTTTGGTTTGATTTGGCCTGGCTTGCCTCGGCTTCAGAGCGGGCGGGGAGTTGGAGGAGGGTTGCCCCACATCAAGCATACCTGCCCATGAAGGACCTGCATAAACCACAGGCCAAAAATACACTGTGAAGTAAACTGTCAGCAGCCTTCGTTCGTCAAGACTGGTGCTCTTGTCATGCCTCGCGATGTAGGCTCCGGATAGCGACAAAGCGCACGCTGTTGGCATATAGTCTGCGGAGCAGCGCTGGTACGGCTGATGCGGAGGAGCAGACGCTTGTAAACCTTAATAACCCTATCCTCAGTTGCGACTGTAAATGATGGATGAGATCATACGGCGATGAATGTATGCATTCCTTCCTCGCTTCTTGCCTTCGTCTCTTCCATCCTGTCTTCTTGTCTGGCTTACTTCCCTGCTTGTCTTCCTATCGCCCAGCCTTTCCTTCCTGCCTTCCTTCCTTGGAGGGAATTGAATTGAAACTTTGAGAGACAAACGCCAGTTTGTGACACAGGCTGCACATACTGTAATTGACAGCATTTCTGAGTTTGATGTTTTGGATTCCTACTTGATGTCTGTTGGATATTTTCCATCTTGTTATATTTGTTGATCCATGGGCTTTCTCATCCCTATGCACTTGCTACTAGAAATGGCTGACGCCATGTGCCCAGGCCATAGACGGAGGATCCCGGGAGGCATACAGGCGCCTGTTTTGGGGTTTGAACCATTGCAAAAGCCTCACAAACCATATGTGGTGCTAGAAGCGCAACGGCCAAAATGAAAGGGGAACCGGTTTTTTTGGCGGGGACATGGGGCAGCTAGAAGAGAGAGGCCGCAAAAGCACGCTTGGCGGCGATTGCCACGAGGCCGGACCAGCGTGCCACCGATGGCCTGCTGCCGCCGACCTGGATTGCGACGACTACGCTACCAGGCAACGGCGGCGGGCATGGCCAAGCTCTGGGTTTGTGTCTGTGTGTGTGTGTGTGCGTGCGATGCCGCTTGCACCACACCGCGACACACTGCGTTTTGTGGGGCTCCAATTTCACTTGCCGAACGCATCTTGCGGAGTTTTGTGCATCCGTATGCATCCGTCTGAGTCTGCTTTATTGGGCTGGAGTTTGTTCCGGAAGGCCCGCAGATGTCACTAATTCGGCGAAACGCCCGACATCGCGGCAACAGTTCTGATGCCCCGTGTCGCTTTTGCGCATCATACGTAGATTCCTTGGTGGATGCTTCGACACAGAGCCAACCGCAATCCAGTCCTCGTATCCGTCCCGGCCGACACATGCTCCTTATGCCTTGTACCCCCCACCCCAGCCTGAGTCAAGCCCCCCCCGGCCTCCCACATCCTTCATCCTTCCTTATCCGTCCCTTTTTCTGCCTCTTCTGCCGCGACCGGGCTGAGGCGGACGACACGAAAGCGAGGTGATAACTACACGGCAACCAGCTGTGCTGGCATTTCTGTTATTTCTGTTCATGACTACTTATAGCTATGATTGGCTAGGCAAATGCGTATCTGTCATCTTACCCATTGACTTCAGTCAATATATGAACGTATACGGGGAGCAGGCCGCCCGGCTGATTGATGCTTGCACGCCTTTTTCCGTGGAAGGCAGTGGGTCTGAGACGTGCCCGCTCGTGCTAGCTCTCCGGATGCCTGACGGGCAAACAGACCAGACAGCGCAGGCTTGCACGGTGTGCCTCCGTGACACTTACTTTGTCATGTGGCTGCCTAACAACCTGTGTAGGTCTACGTGTCCAACTTGATCAAGAATTGCTGTCGGTGGAGGTGGAAGTGCAAGGGTTGTTGAGAACGGCCTCAGCCCTTGCAGCATGCCATCCCAAGGTTGAAACCCTGCCGTCAAGTTGCGGTCTAAGCAGTTCGGCAGGCATGACCCACCTCAGACATGTCGGCGCTGACATACGAAGACGATCTGATGATCTCACCTTGCGCCTGCAAAGCTCTGATGGGCAAGAAAACATATCCGGATCAACATGCTTCCACACCATGACAGCGAGGCCAGTCACAGAAACAGAGAGCCTGAAATGGTGAGCACGTGCGCAGCAGGATGAGCTTCCTATGTACGCGACAGACCGAACAGCACCTACGGGACTGTGCCTCCAACATACGGGCGATGTGTTCCATTGACGACGGTCTACAAAGCTATGCGGGCCCAGACTTAAGGCTTTCAGAGCTTGCCTCATCGCCTGGGAATCGGCGGCGGCAATGAAGCGAAGTTTGCATCACCATGGCGGCGAAGCTTGTGCATTCGTCCGATGTCAGTCTTAGATTGATTTTCCAACTGTCGAGTGCAAGTCTACGACGTGCATTTAGATGTACGCGCAGCCAGCGCTTGCTGGCAAAATGTGTGCCCCGGCCAGTATGATAAGACGTGTGCTCCGGTCAGCTTGGTTTTGTCTGTCACATGTGGGCATGGAGCTTGTGAGATATCCCTGCTGCAATTTAAGTTGCTAGGTTCTTGTGTAGGTGCTGGAACAAGGACGCAGGGGAGCTTCTAGAAGCGGGAAGGATTGTAAGCACTTTGCAGAGCAAGAATTCTTCCGCAACCGCGGAACTGCTTTTGCCCAGACCCGTTTGCAATATCCCATGGCATGCGAAATTTGCAGGCAGCTATAGGCCAGCGTAACAGGTCAGGACGCCCTCACTTCCGGAGTCGCCTTTGGGCGACTTCTCCAAAAGTGAAATCATGCGCTCCTCTGAAATCTAAGTAGTGTCAGCTGAGGCCTCCATCGAAGCTCTACGTAGCTTAGCTGAGGCTGATCGACATCAGCTTCAAGCACACAACATCAAAAAGAAACCTAGTTTTCAAAGACCATGGAAGCCGAAGTTGCCTCTGATCAGGAGCTTCTGGCCCTCGACCATCTGAGACGGATGCTGGATAAGGATGCGGGCTTCCCCATGTCCCAAGACAGGACTGTGAAGCTCTTGCACGGCGACCATCGTGCTTCATTGGTCATTAATCATGGGTAGCTTCGACTTGAAATCAATCTCAAGGTTACCGTTCGGGCCGTTTTCGACAACGTACACACCTTGCAAGATAAGGCTTCCGAAGGGCAAGTGCTGAGATGAAGTGTCCAAGCCCGAGTTACCCACGAAGAGGCGGAAGCCACCCTCATGGAGTCGAGAATCCAAGCCGAACTGCTGGATGTCGCTAGGCAGGATCCTCAACAAAGCACGCTGGTTGCTCAGGTGGTTGACTTCATATGGGACCACAGTGTTGCCCCTCCCCAAATCGATCTGAGCATGGAGAGGCGTGTCATCCCACTCATCCGGCCGCACAAGGCTGATGCCGAAAGTGTCACGCAGCATGACAAGGAAGTTGCGGCGAAGCTGGCGTATCTGACTGTCCTGGTTGAAAGAAGTCCAGCGCCGAAAGAACTTGACCCCGGCTTCGTGCGTGTAGTGGTGGGCGAAACTATACGGAAAGATGTCCGCGCCCGAGCGGCTCCTTGCTACTGGAAGCACCCCATCCGCGAAGATGACAATGTCACTCTGGAACTCCGGCACAAAGTCGGACGGGACTGGCGGGGTAATTCGTCCGGAGCCTATTGGTGCTGCAGGATATTCATCATCAAAGAACACGGCATTCTGAACCACATAGCGTGTTGGGGCACCGTTCTCGTCAAAAGACTGAATGAATGTCCCACTGGCGCGGCCTCGGCCAAAAATGTCATTCTCCACAATGCAGCTGAAGTAGCCGACACCTTCACTTCCGTCCTGAGTGGGGTAGTTGGTGAATCCGGAGGGACATTCTCCGTAGAAGATCGTCTCGATATCCTCTGCATTCGGGTTCACGGTGTCGATGGCGAAGCCACGGAAAACATAGACACCAATGCCCACAATCGGAGTGCCTGGTGGAGCAAACTTTCCGGCATTGCCCCCAAAAGTGCCCTTGAGTGTAAGTCCTGAGTTGCCGACGAAGAACGCATGTGTGAAGTCCAGCGTGACTGCACCTGGCGGTGGCTTCGAACATGTGGTGCCGAAGCTTGCAGCTGTGGCTGTGTAGTTCGCTGACACGGCTCCGAAACGCACGACGCCGTCGGGTTCCACCTGCATCTCCAAAAGCTCCTCCAAAGAGCGGGTCTGGTAGCCATCTGGGAAACTGACACCAAAGGCGTTGGTCAACTGGGCGAGGCCAGCGAGAAGGAAGCGTCGAGCCTTCTCGTCAGTGTTGTAGCTTGTCTGGCTCTTGAACTGCGAAAGTGCATCCGCTGGACCCAGAACAGGGAGGAATCTCCAGGAATGTTGATATCCTGCCTGATCACCAACTTCGGGGCCTGAACCAGTTGCCGTTGTCCACCGGCTGCCCTGACTTAAAGTCCTTCATGTTGAACTCGTCATCGCCCAAGCGGGCCACTATGGACTTGCGGGCTGCCCTGAGTCCCTCCACACGGACACCATCGAACTTCACGGCTCGGAGGTCGCCGTAGTCCGAGCGGTCATTCGAATCCGGGGCGATGTCAATACCAATCGCAAACCCCTCATCGCTGTCGATATCAGTGACAGAAACTTGCTTGAGCCTGATGTCTTGGCTGATGTTCAAGTGCAAGCCCCGCGCATTCGCGCCTCCTCCCTCCTCTGCCACGCTTCGTTCAGGGACAACGTCCTCTGCGTTCGCCAACAGTCTGAAGCTTGTCATGCACGGAGGCCCATGCCGATCTCCAAGATTTCGAAGGTTGGTCACCTCGACCCTCTCCAGACGGACCTCGCGGACCTCCTCCAATCGAAGGCCAATGGCTCCTTGCATTGGGTGATGCATTGTGTCCACGTCACATGCCAGTGAATGCCTCGAGGAGTAACGGTCCTCTAAGACCTCGCGGCTGATGAAAAGATCCCCGAGCGATGCGCCGGACGTGGTCGCCCACTTGAAGAGCTCCTCACTGAGATGTAAGCCTCCGAAGTACTTCTTTTGAAGCATGACGGTATCGCGGCCATTGAGGCTGGGATTTTGAGGTACTCCTTGCGTGCACCGGCCGACATCGTAGGCAAAGGGCAAGGTGGCATTGGAGCCAAAGTTGCCGCAACCAGAGGCATAGATCTGGGCTTCGTAGTAGGAGTTGGCAAGCTGCCACATGGCGAAGTAGGTATCGTGCACCACGTCTCCGCCATAAGCGGCCTGATCCTGCGTTCTCAAGCGGTTGTCCACGACCTCCAACACTCGAAAAAGATCTCGGATAGGTCCTTGGGCAAACTTGCCATCAGAGTGCAGGATCGCTGCTACCTCACTGGGCTTGATGGTGAGGTTCTGGATGACCGTGCGCTCGATGACAATTTCGGCTGCTTCCTCTCCTGCGCCATAATGGTTTTCGTCATCTCCAGGCACGCTGAGATGATTGAAGATAATCCCGTAGATGACGCTCCCATCCGGCACGGGCACTCGTGGCGCGAAGAGCTTGGCCGCGTCGTGCAACAAAGCCACATCCTCAGCCGAGAGGCTTGGTTTGTCCAGGCGGTCTATGTACTGGTCCTGGAACAGCTTCACCGCACGGCCCAAACGCTTGAAGACGGCCTCCACGGTCTCAGGGCTGCGATCTGCGAAGGTGATGGTCGCATTTAAGAGGTCGAGGACGCCCTCCTGGCGGAAGCCCAAGGGGATAAGCCTGGAGGTGTAAAGTTCCAGGAACCGGGCGTTCGCGAAGGTTGCCCGAGCAGGCACTTGCCATGATGTTGGGCCAACCGTGCAGCGCGTGACCCTGCACTTGCGGCAGCCGTTCAGATGGATGCCTGAGACTTCCCAGTCCCGGATGCTTACCTTCTCGATGTGCACTTTGCTGGCGTTGTTGCCATGGATGCCGGAGTGTGAACTGAGACCCAGCGTGCCATCGTGGATGTAGACGTTGCTCGCACCCCGTGTGACAGGAACGCGTCCGGTCTGGAACTGCTCCTTGTCACCCTCCTGGAAGTTCAGGGATGCAACACCCTCGTTGTCCACGAAGACGCGGTTGGCAAGCTCGATGGCATTCCAAAACCGCTGCAAGAGGTAGAACTCCTTGTTCTGCGCAAGGGTATGCCCGTTGAGGTCGATCTCCGCGTTGTCGGCCTCAACTGTGATGCCCGCAAAGAAGCCGAGGTAGAACTGGCTCGCTGGGTAGTTGGCATCCTCGGGCTCTGGCCAGTAGTCATTGTCTGGTCGCGGGCCAAAGTAGATGTCCTCCGTGAGCACGTACACGCCCGACTCTCGGATTCGGTAGGTACCACCTTGGAAATCAGTCTGGCGCAGGTGAGTTACCTTGCGCTTCGGACCGCCGGTCCCCTTGGCTGCTACTCGGCCCGAGTGGGTCATCTGCTTCATGCTCAAAGCACACGTCTCATCGCCAGCATTCGGAATCTCAAAACTGTGGAACCCAACAACTGTCGGGACAAGCATCGCTGCAATGAGAGTCGAGAGAACACGATCACAACCAGGGCCTCGAGGTCGTAGCCGATTTGTCATGGTGGCTGAAATCGGGGTCCACGAGGAGCTGGTTGCCACTGCCCGTGGCGAAAGCTTTGAGCCAAAACGGTCTTTATAGCGACCTTCCTGCACCTGTTGATTGCACCGTGAAGTCAACTTTTACAGCGCGGGCAGCCCGGCTGATTGATGCTTGCACGCCTTTTTCCGTGGAAGGCGGTAGGTCTGAGACGTGCCCGCTCGTGCTAGCTCTCCGGATGCCTGACGGGCAAACAGACCAGACGGCGCAGGCTTGCACGGTGTGCCTCCGTGACACTTACTTCGTGATGTGGCTGCCAAACAACCTGTGTAGGTCTACGTGAGTCTACATGTCCAACTTGACGGTGGAGGGGTAAGTGCAAGGGGTTTCAGAACGGCCTCAGCCCTTGCAGCATACCATCCCAAGGTTGAAACCCTGCCGTCAAGCTGCGGTCTAAGCAGTTCGGCAGCTTGGCCAGGCATGACCCACCTCAGACATGTCGGCGCTGACATAGGAACATGATCTGATGATCTCACCTTGCGCCTGCAAAGCTGGCTCTGATGGGCAAGAAAACATATCCGCATCAACATGCTTCCACACCATGACAGCGAGGCCAGTCACAGAAGCCCTGAAATGGTGGGCACGTGCGCAGCAGGATGCGCTTCCTATGTGCGCGACAGACCGAACAGCACCTACAGGACTGTGCCTCCAACATGCGGGGAGCTGGCTGTGATGAGAGACATCCTTCGAGCCGAGCTGCTTAATGGTCCCGGCATCGAATGACACCTCAAGTTAACGGCAGCGAGAGGTCTAGGAGAGAGTGCCCACTTCTCATGCTTACGGGAAAGTGACGAAAAGGACGTGACTCACAGGCAGCGACGAAGCCTGTCGGCTGCAATTTATCACAGCCAAGTTGGGCAGTTTATTCAAGTGTGGTAGTTCAATCTCGTCAACGCACTCCCTGCCGCACCTTAACGGTGCCAGCTGGAACCGCGAAGCCCTCGGCTTGGCACGCCGTGGGAAAAGCCTGGCACAGGTCCAAGGAGGGTGTCAGAAAAAGACATCAAATCTCAGGCTCCAAACCTTGGCCCCTTGGCCCAGAAAGCTACGCTCTTCCGACATGACTCTCTTCTGAACATGGATCTACGAGCTGGGAAGCATCCAGAACCATCCTCGTGTCGCCAGACAGACGCCAGCCAGTCAACCTTGACCCATTCATCCCATGCCAACAAGGGAGCGACCTCCAGCACCTGTCCATCCCGCCAGCTTTTCTTCGAGTTGCTCCAGACCTGCAGGTTTCTGGCCGGATGGGAAGGGGCAGAGGCAACGTAGAGCAGCATCGAGGTCTCTTATCTTGCTTCCGTTTTCATGTCGAAGTCAAGGTGCTTGCATCTGAACATCAACACACACACACATATTGCACATCAGGAACCGTTTCCTGCATGAAGAAATGACAATCACACAAGACAAGAAGGCACCTGGAGCCGTTCACCCTTTTGGAAGGGAACTGCGACGGCAGCCGATTTGCTCGAGCTGCTTGATGCCTCATGAGAGACTCTGCCGGGTCCGGCAAGGAAGACTGGCAAGACGGGAACGACTAATTACGGCTCATCTCCGTTGAACTTTCCGCGGTGAGACACCGAAACTTCCACCACCCATACATGCCACTTCCCTTTCTGCTCTCGCCTGCGCGGCTTCCTCGGAGTTCAAGCGGGAGACAGCAGAGTTCGCATCCCCTGGCCGCTGGCTCCTGAGAGGTGTCAAGACTGCGGTCTGCAGCACCACTGCTTGTTCTCTGGCATTAGCTGCGCGTCACACCGGCCGCGATCTTTACATATGTTCACTTTCAATCGGCATAGCATACATAAGAAGTCCCTGCTTCTGGATTCGATTCTCTGCTGCTGGCGCTTGGAGGAAAAAGCCATGCAGCAGGAGCATGTCTGCCATCAGGGACTTCAAGCTGCTCTCAATTGGAAACTGGCTTCGTTGCAGTTGCCAAACTGAAAGGAGACATGAAACTTCTACGACTGTATCAGCCTATTAATTACAACCAAAGCGGAAGCCAACGCCTCATATCAACGGCCAAAAATTGAGACAAGACGACAATGGAAATTCAAGAACTTGGCAATGCTAGCAGATTAGGCATGCAATCATGAACCGCTGAAGAGGAGGATTCATGGCCAGAGGCTCCTTTGCTAGATGATGCTGCTCGCCTTTGCAATGAGTGACCGGCCACAGAAGGATCGGCACGAAACTGTGAGCATGACTCGTGAGTCGGAACACTTTCAGCTAAGGCTCCCCTCTGCGTGCCGCGAGGAGGTGCCAGCACTGGTCGTCGGCCTTTCATGGACACATGCCTGCATGCTGCCACTTACCTGTAGCATGAAAAACGAGTCATGGAGGTGCCATGGACGATTCTACGATCCAGCGTCGCCAAGAGTTCCTACAAACTTCAGGGAGATGTCGGAAAGACGAGGTGCGTAATGCAGGTCATCCAGAATTCCATGCAGCATCATGAAGCCAAGGTGCGTGGAATCTGGTTGATAGCCCGTTGGATGGTCGCTTGCGCCTCCGGAGGCTTTTCTTGGATTAGGCAGTCGGGTTTGGCAGTTCAAGGTTCAAAACTACTCAGCCAACCACTCTACGGGATCGCGCTAGTGTGTCTCGGAATGTGCTCACCTGAACCGCGAACTGCCGACGAAGCGGCCCGCAAACCCGAACTACACAACAAGGAACCACGTTGGTGCAAGACCCATCCCAGAAATACCGAACCGAACCGTCTTTGTTTGAAACAAGCTTTTGAAACAGGCAACTACACAGTGAGGCCTGGCTTGGCTGGCGTCTGCCTCGTAGCCTGGCAGATGTGCCATGAAGTCTCAAACACAAAGCATGAGGTCGTAGGCCAACTCATCAGTTGGCGTTGCTGCAGGGGTGGTTGATGTGCTTACAGTGACAGTGTGGCTGGGAAATTCGAAGCACGGAACACTGATCCGCCTACTCACCGACTGCAAAGCGATCAACTATAGTACTTGATGGTTCATTTCAACCTGGGAGTCTAAGGGTTTCGGGGGTGCCGTTGCTTTGACAATTTTGGACATCGTTGCTTCCCATGTCGGAGAGTGACAAAACCGCCACAACATCGTCAGCGAGCGAAGCCAAAGTCAGGCCGAATCTCGCTGAAACAGCTCCGCCCGCCTTAAATCCCAACCATCCCAATCTCCATTTTGACTTTGAGTTTCGGGAAGCGCTCTCGGGCCTCATCCATGGCCACGCGGTCCGCCATGGTCGGCCTAACGTCACGGCACCGAACCGGAATCGCAGAGATCCCTCAACACAGAGCCATCTGGAACCTGGCCTCGGAGACGGCTGCTGTGCAGCTGGAGCCGCCGGGGCCTGCTCTTGAGCGGCGTTTTCGGTGAGTTGGCTTCGGAGCTGGCGTCTATACATCCAGGCAACTTGGGCTGGAGCTGCCGGAAAGAAGAACTGATCCGACTCCTGAATGACTTGAACGGACAAGCTATGCTTTGCAGGGCTTGCAACAAATCTACCTACCATCAGGCACGGCTGAAACCTTACCAATTGGACCGTGAATTTTGCTTTCTGCACACCGAGGATGCCCGACAGCTCCGAAACCCTGTGATTGCACGACGGCTAGGCCTGCTGCATCGCTACACACCACCTTGAAACCTTTAGGCTCCACAAAGTCACAAAGCACAGCATGTTCTGCTTAAGTCCCAAGAGGCGCTGATGAGGGAGGGATACCGGAAGGCTTGCCGAGCACTCTCAGCCTGTGCGTCTTGCGGTCTGGGCTGAAAGCAAGGGAGTTTCATTCCCAGGCCGCTCCGCGCCTCGGCAATGAATTGCTCCACCATCATCACCTGGCCTTCTGGGTCTGTGTCGATGTCATTCAGCACCCCCTGTTTGACGACTTCCAACTGCATCTCTTGACACTCATGCTGTTCTGCAAGCGCACGAAGGCCTGCATGTATTCGCGAAAGACGCTGAACGGCACGGGCTTCCCGTGTGGATCCAGGTGCTCTCTGAAGACGCCTTTGTACTTCCTTGGAGGTCATGCTGGACATGCTACTGTGTCGATTCAGGTTCGACTTCGGAACAGACTTCGCAGCCGCGACTCTCCCGAATGGCTTCTTTGTTGGTCTCTGCCTTGCCATAGTGGAGCAACGACACCTTCCAAAACATCTGTGATGTAACGAAAACGGAACTACGAGCCTACTTATTTCATTAAGTTGACTCTCAAGCTCGTTTCGAAGGATGGCAGATTCCGGCGGAGCCTTCTCGTTCATCTTGATGAGCTCGTCCTGCTTGATCCGGGAACTGCTTTGGCCAAAGACACTTCCGATAAGAATTGCCACTGGTCGCACCGGCATGATCTCGCCTCCTCTAGAACGCCATTGGCTTTGAGGTCGTGGAGCTCGAACCTCAAAATCTGCATTGCGACAAAATATATGACCAGCTTGTCAAAAAACAACCCCGATTCATCCCTGTTGTTCAGGCTCGACGCCGGACAGAAGAAACAAATAACAGAGCGGCTAACTACTGCATCTAAGCTGCAGCTGCTGCAGCAGAGTTTGCACGCGCTCTCGCGCCGCAGCTGACGCAGCTTCGCTTCTGAGGCCAAGTTGAGTTCGATTCTTACTTGGGGTTTACAACTTTGCGGAGCCGTCTTATGGTATATGGCCCTTGATCTTCACACCACATGCACCGAAATGGGCGTGATCTCGAGAAGCAGTAGTCTGCAGATCTTTGAGAACCGCCCGACGCAGGAACATTTGTGGCTTCAGGCACGAAACCCCTAACTCCCTAAAGCCCTATAACGGCCCTGACCCCCTAAAACTTCCTTCCATGAGTTCCTGGTGCTTTCTAACCTGGAGCTGCCTGGAGCTGGCCGGCGGGGAGACGGGGAGGGTGTGCTCCGGCCTCTGCAAACTTGGTTTTGGGGCGTTGGGCACCGGGCTTCAGGGGTAGTTTACCAAAGAACTATGAGCTGGCTCTCTCAAACCCCCGCATCACCTGCCAGCTTGCACTTTTCCGGGTTTTCAGGATCTGCTCCAGAGTCGGCTGAACTTCGCAAGACACGGGCTTGGCAAAAAGAAACAGCTCATGGACGCAATAGGCAGTCCACCACGTGCCCCATGCCGATGCACCCAAGCTGAGGCATGGACAGTTTCGCCGGAGCGCCCAAAAGTTTATTCGCCACTTCGGTCTTTGCCTGCCTGCCAGGTCAGCGGTCGGCATTTCCACTGATCAAACAGATGGCATCATCTCCATGAAAAGCTCGGTGGCTGCCATGCCCAGATTCGCTGAAACAGCTGTCTAATCAGGTAGGCACGAACATCACGAACGAATCATTGGTCTTTCCTGCTGGCTTGCTGCTGCTGCTGCTGCAGCTACGGCTACTGCTGCAACTAACTCCTGCTATTAATCCTACTCATACTCCTGCTCCTTATTGCAGTTCCAAGCCTTCCGACGACCACACTTCTGCCCTACTCTTGCAGATGCTGCTGCTGCTGCTGAGGCGGCTGCCGCAGCTGAGGCTGCTTTTTCCTGCTGCTACTCTTGGCATTGAGATTACTACTGTTGCTGCTGCCAGTACTGTTGTCGTCATGAGACTGTCATGTTCCAAGATCAAGAAGCAGCTCATCCCAGGATGGATGGAAATGGCTGCTGTCATGTTATCTGCCTCAGCTGCTGGAGGGTCATGGCATCTTGCTCCACCGGAGATCGCTGCGGCTCCGCCGGAGGCTTCCCAAGCATCTGCACATGGATCAATTTCTGTTGCATCTTGATTCACGATGGCCGGCGTAAGTTCTGCACATGTCACGGCTGCAAGGCTTGCCTGGGCAGCCTCGCCGTAGCGCGCTGCCCAGGCACCAATGGCCTCTCCACACTGCACAGGCGACAACTGATGACAATCTCGATATACTAGTTACTAGTACATACTAGTAGAAGTTGCCTGCAGCTCCGGTTTAGATGATGTGGGATCAGCTTGGATAGATGCACTGCTTTTGTATTTCGGGCATCTGCCCAAGGTGTGCCGAAGTAGGTGGACAGAAGACTCACCCGGAGGCTTGAGGCAAGAAGCAACTGTGTGACGTTGTTGGCAGCGATTTTGCAAAGGCTGGCACGGCAGGAGTTGGCTTGTCTTGATACATTGTTCAAGCTGCACATTGCCTGATCGCTAAGCTCAAGCAATTTTGTTCAGCAACATTCCCCTCAGATTAAATAAGTCGGGCATGACAAGGATCCGATTCGTCGCCCTCATAGCTTCCGTTCCAAATTCTGAAATTCTAAAGTCTTGGACGGGAAATCCTTAGACCGAACCTGTCCATTCTCCGGGCTTCTCGAGAATCTGGCCTGCGCGGTAGGGAGGGAGCAGTGGCAGCAAGTTCTCTGCGTTTAGGGTTTATCGGGCTGCAGCTTCGACTTGCAGCTCTTTGTCCACATGACTGTCTTGGCCCTGACAGACGCAGCTGCACAACCATCACGGTTCTAAAAGGTTGAAACCGAAACCCGATGAAATGGCGCCCCAAAAGAGCTCCTACCGACATGATACATGCTAAAGTCGTCACGTAAACTTCCTATTCTGCAGCATGTGAATTATTGAAAGGTCTGCACAAACCCCTGACAAGTCCAATGTGCTGCTGTTTTACGTCCTGTCTCCAGCGGGCTAGGTGAGTATGCAATGCACCCAAACAGAGGGCCTCTTCCCGGTATTGTGCCGACAGGTCTGCAAGCGTCTGTTGCAGCGCCGTGTCTGCAGCCACCGCGCGGTCGCATTGCTGTTTCAGGGCAATGGCCTGATCGTTTGCAGCACACAACAGTGCGGATTCACAGTTGGTGAGTGGCACTGACATGAATGACATTTAAAGTTAATTACCAACAATGGCCTAGCTGCTTTCGACGAGTTCCAAGCATGGCCACTCCCCCAAACTCCTGTGCGGCCTTCAACGCACAGTGTATACATCTGCACATCTATACGCACGGATGGTTTAACTTTAACCGATGGCGGAGGAGACACATGCTTAGTACCCGTCTACTTATTAGATCTCACAGCATGTCAAGGCTGCTACATAACTGCTTGTCGCAACAGAGGCCATTGGGGGCAATTACAATCGCAGCGATGGCACTCCAGGCGGAGAGCGAATAGAATTTTGGATGCGACTTCCAGAAACGGAAGTCCGTCGTGTTGATTCCAGCAGACAGCCCGACGCTGTGGCCAGCTTAGCTGTGAAATCGTAGTCATATATATATATGTATATATAGTCATTAAGGTTGCTTTTCATCCAGCTCGGTAGTACGTGCACCACTTTGAAATAGCATTCTTCGCATCACAGACCTCAACAACATAACACATTCCGTAGTAGTAGCAGGCTAGTCAGCCAACAAAACTGAGCATCGTCAGCAGGTATTGTAGGTTTGCAGTAGGCGTGGAGATGTTGGGCATTCCTACTGTTTGAAGCCACGGCACTTCACTGGCATTGTGAGAGTCGGTAGACTTGTTGTAATACTGGCTAGCCTCCTGCGCTGGCGTTCCGCTGTCCAGGAGGCTGCGGCCAGCAAATGCCACCTGAGGTCGCATGGCCAGGGAAGAAGACTCCAAATAAGATCCAGGCCTCTCTACGCCAGGACTTAGAGAGACGGAAGGAGAGAGGCCCGGCACGCGTTGAACACCAGGCTGCTGTCTGTCTTGAGTTTACATCTCGAAAATTAATAAAATAACAGGTTGAGGCGCGTCTGCTCGCTCCACTGCCTTTTCGTATCCAGCTTTTGCGTACCTGGGACAGGAATATCCTAAGATCCCATTTCGGGAGTCGGAGCACTCGAGCGTCAAAGCTTGTGTCGTACGTAACTCCCTGCTTGGGATATGCAGTGAAGCCATGTTCATTGCGCTTCGTCCAGGAATGTGACCAGCTATCCAGCTTCCAGTCAAGCAGCTCTGTGGCCAGTGTCAGGCCGCGCTGCGTCTGCCGCTTCAGCCAGTTGGAAATGACCTGCCCCAAGAGCTAAGATACAAAGAAAGCACAGGGTACAAACAGGTTTTGTTTAGCTTGCAAGGCGAAAGCTGATTCTGCAGCTGTCGAGGGAGCGTCTCTCTGTATTGCAGTGTGACAGTGGCGAAGGGAAAGCCAAGCCTCCTTGGCAGACATCGGCAAACTGAGCCCGAGAAGCACAAAGCAGGCAGGGTCGGAGTCTTGACAATCGCACACGTTGTCTGTAGTGCTCTAGAGCATCTCGCGCAGCTTTGCACGATGATCTTGGGAAGCCACCGTAATGCTTCCGTCACCACTGTCCCAACTGGGAAAAACTCGGATCCATTTCGAGGCCTAGAGCTCCTCGGGAGATCGGGAGCTGGGGATCTCGAGCCCCTCCTTTCAGCCCAGGCCTCGCCGGGAGCAAGATCACGTTCATCGAGCCAGCCGTTCCAGACATTCTGCGCCTTCTTCGCATGGGTCGAAGAACCTCAGATTCTCCAATCACGGCCCACTCCCCACCCCAGCTTGGTTCGATGTTGAGAAGCTTATCCCACCGCCACCAGTATGCTGATTTAGCCAATTGGACATGATGCTGATCAGTGCGGTATGACGATGCCTGATGTTTTCCAACCGGGCAGGCGGGGGGTAAAAACCTGATTAAAGCGTATGCTAGATAAGGTTCCCCGCCCCCCCCCCCCCCCGGCATCGAGCCGACTCCAATGCCATCTGAGGCACACATCAGGTTGATCTCGAGCTAAAGCGGCCTTGTGCTTGGCTCATGGGCCGCAGGCTGTTCCTGTACCCCGAATGCACAATGCACCTGCTGGGCTGTGAAGTGCTAAACAGCGGCTAGCTCGCTAGACCTTGGATCCCTTTATAAGTCAGGAATAGTCCGGAAGGGGAATGAAGGGGACAGATTTCAAGGGGGATGGGGGGGAAGGAAGGCCAGGTGAGCCTGGCAGGCATGCTGGAGGGGTGTTTGAGGCTGGCTCTCTGACTCAAGCTTGGCTTGTCTGCAATGCTGCGGCCAGCATGTAGACCTGCTTCCTGATTCTGATGGGTAATGGGTTGCATTGCACCTGTGCATCCAATGACCAAGAATCCGAAGCAAATTTGTGAATCTTGGCAGGTCCAAACTGAGTTGCCGAGGAAGTCGCCGGCGAACTGCCTCCTAGGCCTGCTTCTGTTTGCGTGTGGTCTGTGACAAGCCGTCGTTGTAAGTTTGAAGGATGTCTGGCGACTTCCAGCACCTGCACTCAAGAACTGGGTGAAATCCTCGTAGACAGCAAGCCCTGGGCAGCATGAACGCCGCCCAAGGGCACAAGAGAGTCTATGCACATAAGTCTGTTCTGGACAGGTTAGGCTACGAAGCCCACTGAGAATTCAGGGGCTGAGCAATGATGTCACCAGGATCAATGAACCGACGCCCGCAGCACCGATCCAAATCCTGCACAAGCATCGTCAAAGGAACTCGGCACCAAGCTCGCAGGCACAGGTGGCCAAAGTGAGATCTTCGCGTAAAAAGGGGCAGAGGCTAGACTGCTAGACTTAGAACATCCATGTTTTAGCACTGCCGGTCTTACAGCCAGTTCTAGATGCTCACAAACCATGGCTTCCGCCACCAACTGCACCAACACCGTCACATGAGTCACATGCATATTCCCGGAGCCTGCGCTTCAGCCGCGCGCTGAAATTGTATCCTCGTCCACTCAAGACTGCACTTTGATGCTATGCGGTTCTGAGCCCGTGATGCAAAACAACCTATACAGAATGGCTCAACACCATAAATCGAAAATTGCACCCTCTTCCCTGAAAATCCTCTCTGTGAGGCTACTCGTCCCCACAGGTGAAGTCTAGCACTTCCTGAAGCGACCTGCGCATTCCATGCCCTTCCATGCCAGGGCACTCTCTGTGTACTCGATCTCCTCCCTTCCGCGCTCAATGTCGGCGGAGGCTCGGGCCTCCATGTGAGACCAAAGCCATCGAGCTCCACACTGGGAAGATTTGATGTAGGGTTTCATGTCGGCGCTTCCAAGAAAGCCGAGAGTGGTGAAAGACTGTTTGGTGTTAGGGTGCTCCGCGAATCGCCTGCACCGCCAGCTCTCGACTCGCTTTTTGGGGTTGTTCCGGCCATCATGGCACGACTATTCGTCGGAGGTGCTCACCCCGAGGCTCCCCACCGCACCTCTGCCTGCTAGCAGTAAGGCCCTGGCCATGTGACTCTCCAGAGTATCGAAGCTGGAGGCTTGTTCTTCGGCGGCTGTCGCCTTAGACTCAAGTGGCATGGGATGGGATAGTTTATCAAGAGCTTGGGCTGAAGCTCTCAAGACGGCCAAGTGCAAGCAGGGATGCCAGATCCGTGTAGATGCGTTGCAAGCAAAGCATATCCTTTACACATTCATTTTGTGGTGACCATGACCATGCATCCCAACGGCCCTACGCTTCCGGGCCTCGGTAGCATACATCTCCCGTCAAACTCCTATGACTGCCTGCGCTAACTGCAGCGCAAAACAAGGTCGGTCCTCGTCCACTTTTCGCAGAGTCTGAACTTTGTCCGTCTGCAAGGCAGTGTCCTTTGCAAGCGGAAGCTCGCAGTGGAGGGCTCAACAAGCCAGCACAAAAACCTAGCGATTCAAAATTCACTGTCCAGTCGTGGCTTCTGGTGGCCTGCATTCACAGGCGACACGACAAGACGCGACAGCATGCGTACATGTAACTGAGCTCAGCTTGATATAAGGCATCTCAAGAATGGGTCCTTCCTTCATGTCGGCTTCACTGTCTATGTCGATCTTAAGTCAGACTGCTTTTCGGTGTTGTACTAGCACGTCACGCCATGCCATGCTGACTCTGTCTAGCTCAACTGGTTTTGGGGGTCGTGCCAAGCTAGGGATTTGCTTTCCATAGATGCTTAGACAGTTCAGATGTCAGTCTGCTGAACTTTGCGAAGCTTGATGAAGTCCCCACCATGTAGCCTGAAGCCTTTCTGAAACCCGAAACCCGAAACCCCAAACCCTAAACCCGCTCGGGGCTCCATCTGATCTCCGCCGGTGGAGAGAAGAGGCTTCTGGTCGTTGCCTCCGGCGACATCCGCAGCGGCGATGCCCGGGGCCTGCAAGTCCCCGCGTACCCACTGCTGCATGCATTTAGGGTTTAGGGTTTCAAGCTTTAGGGTTTGGGGTAATAAGTTTATACATGACATAGCATTTGCGCTTTATCTGACGATCTTTCTTGCGCTGCTGATTGCACAAGCAGACTCTCTCTCTCACACACAGTCTCTCTCTACACGCGGACATCATGTGTCTGTACATTCATCTATATACTACGACTACGATGTGTGCATACAGCATACACGTTCTGAAGTTGCCAAATATGTGTAGACATGTGCAAGAGCAGATACGGATAGAGCTGCAACGGTTCATGCTGTCTCGTTCCCCTTGAGAACTCCGAAGAAGCTTTTCGAAGCAGCAGTACAGTACGAACAGCTTTCGGTTCATGTACCAAAAAGCTGAAGACTCAACGGTCCAAAGCGAGGCTCCCAGAGGCTCCGAGCCCCGGCCTCGAAGACTCCGCTGTTCCCGACGCGCCGGCGCTCCTCGGCCGTGAAGCGCCGGACGACGTCCTCCGGTGATGCTAAGTCTTAAGTCGCCGCCGTCAGACGGAGCGACTGTTGATGATATAAATCCTGCAGTACCTTAAGGGCCCTAAACTATGGGAATTATGGTATATATTGCTTATTATGAGTAATGCAGGCTTTACATCATCAACCGTATTCCCAACGATGTTGGCATGTTAGGGTCAGGATCTGTATCGCGAATTTGCGGAAGGGTTAATTTGGAGAAGTTCGGCGGTGCAGCTCGATGGTTCGACCACCGTCACACACACTTCGCAGCTTTGCACAGCTAGGCCGGATTTGAGGTCAATTTCTGGCAGGCTGTTGATGCAAACGGGCTTAAAAGTCCTCCAGCACACGCGCGGTGATGGCCAAATTGTCCGAAAGCTTCTGGTACCTCGTCTCAAATTGAGCTCTGCAGTAGAGCTGGTGCTAACAGTGAGCAGTTTCTAAATCCCGGAAGAACTTATCGGCTGCCATGACACATCATCCGGCGGTTGTTGCGCTCGGCAGTGTTCTGCGCCTGGTGCTGGTGCTCCCGGATGCGGGCTAGGATCGCTTTGGTCTCTGAAGCCTGCGACAGCCAGCACTTGCTTAGTCAGAGGCTTTTCGCTCCCCAAGGCTTACAGAACTGCGACTGCGGACCACCATGCCGTCACGGACGCTCGGCCTGGCGCACTGCATCATCCACCATCTTTCGGCAGTGTTGGAAGTCTTTCTCTGCCTGGATCAACGGACACTGCCATTGCGGGACACTGCAATTGCGGACCCAAAGACGAGCGCACCAGAATGCGGAATGGGCTCGGATCCTTCTCGCATAAAACGAGCTCGAATGATGCCGTGAATCGTCACATAGGATGTCACTACATACGCCTAGTACAGTAGAATACGACACAAGACATTTCAAAACACGCGCGCGGATGTTGTGGCATCCTGCAACGAGTACAACCGCAGTTGTGTGCATTGATGAAGCGATGCAATGTCACCATCAGTTATTTATCTGCTTTTACAACTTATTTGCTTGAAGAGGCGCGGTTTCTAGGTGGTGCGCAAAAGCAGGAACTTATTGCTATTGGGAAGGAACTTATTCCACTAAACCATATTTATCAATCTAAAGTAATCTTAAACAATGCACATTCATGAACATCAACTGTGCACACGGTGCTTGTTGACAGTACGAATGGATGTAGGCATGTCTGCCTGCATGTGTCTATACACGGTACATGTCACATATGTGGCCACATATCTGGTCCAGGCAAGTCACTTCCATGGTCCCTACTAGCCGAGAAATCTGCCCAGTCCTCAGCGCAAAAGTAGGGCTCCACGGGTCTCATGAGACATTTTTGCACTGAGGGTCCCAGAAAAAAATCTAGTCAAGCTGCAGCAAACTTACTGTGTAAGGAAGGCTGAGCACAGTTGTTGACGCATTGCAGCTTTTTGAAGGCAAAGCTCAGGGTCTGGATCGAATGAGTGTTGTTCTGCACCTCCACCAGCGGCAAACTCTTCAGGGTGGCTTGACAGAATGGCTTTGGCTTAAACGGCCTCTCTTCCAACGTCATCCTTCACAGAATGTTGTCCGAACGGACTTTCTCAGGCACTTTGGACAGGTCTGAGGCTGTGCAGGCCTGACTGTGAAGGGCCTGGCCACCATTTAGGGACTTAGGACGTTGCGGTGTAGCTACCTTAGTATATAGGCCTTCTGTCAGAATCATCGAATGTTAAGAACTCCTTTGACCTGATCACGATAACTATTGGGGTTTCTTTCGTAGAATGATGCCATCTTGTCTATACTATAAAGCTTAAATGCTGTCAATTTATTATGTAAAAATCGCGGATTTGTTGATGCCTGCGGCGGAACCATCGCGATACTTTCGCGGACACAGTGATTTACCTTTCGAACTCAAACTTCTACTACACTGTTGGACTATGGTAGTCGTTAGCTTGTTCTTTAGGCTTTAGTCATTAACATGTGAGGCTGCACGCACTCGCGCACCTGTCGGCAATCCTGTACATAGAAGGAGTCTGCATCTCGGGCCACCTGCGCCTGGCTCAGGGAGCTAGGGAGTGGATGTATTCTCTTGATCTACAGGACGTAACGTAAGATAGCAGAACCATAGGTGACAAGTGTAAACATGAGCAAACTACAAAAGAGTAGTAATATCGAATACACTTGCGGGGCAAGTCTCAGCCCTCTGCGCTATCATTTAAAGCAAGCCGGCTGCACCATGCTCTGCAAAGAAGCGGCAGGCCAGCCCGGCAGAGTCTTGCTGGGAAATGGCTCTGAGCAAGCACGAGACCCTGTGATTCTGCGAGTTTTCTGTCGAGACCCGCGTCGCGGCGTCGCGAAGCGCGAGCATGATTCTGTTTTGTTCGCTGAGGAAAGCCGGCCCATCCTCCCCTAGGCCCTCGGCCCAATTAATTAGGGTTCTTGTTAACCCCTGGGCGAGCATGCTTCGCATCCCCGAGAAGAACGTGTCCACATCGGTGCAGCCAGAACGAGTCATCAGAACGTGCAACTAGCCGCTGCAGTCAACCAAGCTGGAAGCTTCCCCGCCCATATCCTATAAAGACTCCGAGCCAGCTTCTGTTGACACCGTCCTGTCACATCGTTTGGTGATCCCGGCAATTGCACCGGGATCGAAGAGCTCCAAGTCCGCAGGCACACGGCCGCAGCCGTCAGAGGCTTAGGCTCGCAGCCTCTGCCCCGACAGACCTGGAAAGGGACTGCTCCCTTAGCCGCTAAGCCTCGCTGTGACTGTCGCGGCTCAAAGCTCGGTCCCGGACTCTTTCGGCTTTTCCGCTGCTCTTTCTTGCGCACCTTCACCTCCACAACCGGTCGAGGAACCTGACAGGTTGCAAAGCTGCCGGGATCTCCGCACATCACTGCAAAAATGGGCCTGCGCCAGCGCTGCCAGCCCTGCCGCTCGAAGGTTGGAGTTGCTTTCAGCTGTCGTCGGCTTTCGGAGGATTCCGCCGACGAATTTCCTCGTGCATGTGACTTCCTGGATGCACATCCACGATGGCGGGATACAGGGCAATCTTCGGTCTAAAGCTTCGTCACATGCAACACCTTCAACCTCTGGCATCTGCTGTACAACATGCCCAACGAATTCTGAATTTTCTGCAGGATGTAGTTCTGCTTGGAAAACAGAGCTGTCAGTTTGCACGGCTCCATCTAGGCGTGGCACCCGGGTCTCGGGCTGGGTAGCCTCCTGAGACTTCCCAGAAGGTTCCTGCTCCAATGCCCTTTGAGTCTGCTCCGCCTTGCATGGCTTCTTTGGCTTCTTCTCATGCGACTGGCTGCGGCTCTTGGATGCTTTGTAAAGCCTTGGCTTTCGTGCGCACAAGCAGGAAGGCCAGGACATGGAGCGTATCTCCGCCATGAGGCAGGCGACACACCGGCGGTGGTGGCAAGGGCCAGCCGAGTGGGAACGTCTCTGATTTTGAGCGGCCACGGATCTCTGGGTCGTCGAAACCGTGGGGGCTGAGTAGGATCGATTCTTCATCGGCCGCGTCGAGGGCCTTGGCTTTGGACCCTGTTTTGCACTGCTCGCCCGGGCACGGCTGCGAGGTGTCTTGCACCGAGCACTTCTGGATAGACCTGGACCTATATCAGATTTCCGGACCGTCTTTGTAGCGGCCACAGCTTGCCTCTGGCTCTGCGCCTGCAACGTCCGCGATGTGGTACAGCGCGGCTTTCTTCTGGACGTCTGTGTGGCAGCATCCTTGATGGATGTCACCTTGCGCAAAGGTTCCCAGACCTCTGCCCTGCGATCGGCTGGCCTTGCAGTTGCACGCTTGGGCTCGGGACGTGCTACTGGCCGTCTCACGTCTCGTCCACGGCAAGGCTGCGAGGTGCTTCGCCATTGTGGCACTGTGCTCACCCTGACATCGGTCGGACTCGGTGCCCGCTCGATCGCCTTTCCAATCAGCTTCTGAGGCCAAGGAATATGTTGTGCTGAGTGATCCTCCGATGCCAGAGTTTCAGAGCAGCTGCTGTGACCACCTGGTGGAGGGGGTGTGGCTGTGGACTCGTCTGAGGGGGTCAGAGATGTTACGCCGCCGGACTCCCCAAGCTCGTCCGGCTTCTCAGCTTCGACCTCCCGTACTTCGTCGCTGCTGTTTGAAGACACCGAGTCGCCGAAATCGCAGACAAGTCGGGCTGGACGCGCGTTCGAGGTTTCGGTCCTCGGCGCATCAGAGTCACATTCACAGGACAGACGTCAGACTACACATCATCTGCACACGTTGAAGGCTCTAGTCGCCGTTGCAGGTCAGTCTGGATGGCCGCGCCTCTCCGTCCGAACACTGACGGACCGAAGTCCGGGGCTCTCCCCCATTCGCGTGCTGCTCTCCGGCACATCTTTCAGCAACCTGCGAAGCCGACTTTTCAGTACGACTCTCCTAATTAGCCCTGGCGCATCAACGTGTTGATATGCAATACCTTATCTTGCCGAAGTAACCACGTAAGGTGCTACACCGCTTGCTTGTTCCCCTGCCTTATTACACTCATGTGGCGCCGTTCATAAAGAGAAACACACTATCTTACGCGCACACACCTGTACATAAAGCAAAGACTTTCAGACCAACGAAGAAGCGCATAAGTACATATATATATATATATGTGTACCTACATAAGTACATACATCCATGTATGCATACATGGAGACATCGCTGGATCCATGCATCCATCCACTCATCTCCATTCAGCTCATCCATCCATCCATCCATCCATCCATCCACCCATCCCTCCGTCCGTCCGTCCTAGCGTCTATGCATCCATCCGTCCACTAGACAGTGACACATCATAATTTGCAGGCATATATATATATATGTATGTATATATATATATAATCTTTGCACCAGCCGGTTGAAGACAGCCAAGGGTTCGCGATGGCGGGCTTGCGGCCCCGTGAACTTGACAACATCCGCTGTGAAATCCATGCTATCTAAAATATCTATGCTGGCATGCTGAAGAGCATGAGGTGCCTGATGCTTCTGAATTAGAGCATCCACACTGGCAATCTTGAGAACATCCGGCTCAATAGTGAAACTCAGCCTTCCATGCTGGAAGCTTAAGAAAATCCTGGCCTGCAGCGCAAGCATCACAGTCATCGTCGTCGTCATCCTCATCATCATCGTCCTCATTGTCATCATGATCAGCATCATCATCATGAACATCAACATCACCGTCACCATCCTCCTCTGTACCGCTATCAAACGTTACCATGACCATAGTTGTTGTCAAGAGCATAAGTCTTCCGAGCCCGCTGATGATAGCCTCACCTCTCGCATGTTTAAACACAGAGCTCGAGGCCTAAGAGGCATGGGTGTATCTATGCATTCATGTATGTCTATGTGTATGTATACATGCAGCCGTACTATGTAGATGTATGTTAATGCATTCATGGATGGATGGGTGGATGCATGGATAGTCAAACCTAGTCAAGCTCTCCATGCAAGTGCAAAGAAAACTCGCGCATGCAGACCTGCTCTGGCTCCAGCGCGCAGTGCAGCGCTCCTGGCAATGCAGCGCAACAGCACCAAGAAGGACCTAGAAACGTTGCAAGCTCATGCGGAAGAGAACTCGCGTCAACCCTGCGAGAAGACAACAGGCAAAGAACTCGTATCTGTCTTGGCCCACGACACACTACAGTCTAATCATTCGCACCAGAGGTCCCGCAAGAAGTCAGTCATAAGCTCCAAACTAGATCTGTCCATGAGCCCTGATTCATTCAGCTTCTATAACCGGTTCTCGGCAACCGTTTCCCATATCCTCTCCTCATGGAGCCGTATGGATGCAGGGAAGTACCGGCGTCCACAGAAAGTGCAAGCAACAGCCCGCGCATGATAGACGAAGCTGGTACCTTCGCACGGGCAGAGCTTTCAATTCTTCCTGCCCTAAAGCCTTCGGAGACAGCTACAGCAGCTACTTTCTTTGATGTGCTGAGCTTTTCTTGCGTGCGCTTGCCAGAGCAAGCTGGCCATTTTAGCCAGGTCTACCCGGACTGCAGCCATAACACAGGCCGACTGATGGCATGCAACGACATGACTGACGATGCTAGTGTTGTGCGCCATTGCAGCTTTTTGTGTTTCTGCTGTCGTTCTTCTTTGGGCAGCGTGGAGACTGGCAAAAGTGAGAAATTACAGATCGAACCTGCGTCAGAGTATTTTGACAGTGCAAGAAGCTGGGACGCTTTTTGGTGTCTCAAGGATCCACAACGTTGTACTGCCATGTCACATACAGATCTGCGAGGCAACGGACATTGTTGTTTGGCCTGCGCATGCCTTTTTCCAAAAAGTGCGGCAGCGACAATCATTTAAATACCATACGACGTTGGATGGTGCCATCAGTCAGGCGAAGGACAAGGACGAAATCGTGGACCCGAAAGGAAGGTATTCGTCGCCACTGCTGGCAGCTGTTGAAGGTCTGCATTTTTTTGTGACCTTCCCTGATCCATGACTTCTTCCGCGGAGGCGTCCAGCTGGAAATGCATTAACTTAACTTCCCCGGGGGCAGATCGTTCCGATCATGCCTCAGGGGGGGTGCTCGGGCCTTCAGCCCTGAGTCTGCTACATGCTGTAAAGAAGAGTCTTGCGCTCATCCCTGCTCTGGCTTCTTAACTCCACTTATAGACATCATCATCTCGAGCCGATTGTGTCACAGGGTGCCTTAAATATTAAAGTACGCCTGTCTCAGAGTCCCGAACCCTAAACCCTAAACCCTAATTACACCCATCTACAGGGGACCCTACTATAGTACCACAAATAGTAGGATCCTTATTCTAAGGACCCTCAAAATATGGTACCCCTAACTTTCGGAAAGTCCCATCTGGTCCCATCTCAGAAGGCGTCCTCGAGATCTTCCAAAGATCCTGGCTCCGCCTCGGCCGCCTCGGCGGCCTCGGCCCCGAAGGGACCCGGGCGCTCTGCCTGGAGGGCTCGGAGAACCCCAGGCCGGCGCTTTAAAAAAAAAAAAAATATATATATATATGTTAGGAATATATGAATGGCAATTTAATTTGGCAAATTAAATTCCTAATATTTAAATAGCAGTTTAAATAAAAACCTAGGCTTTGGGGCTCTCTGAGACCCTGGTGCGCCTCATGAATCGCGATATCACCAACATGCGCAAGCTAGGAAAGCACGTCGTTCCAAGGTGCAGTTCACCCGACAGCGTGCATTCCGCGCTTGCACACGGCCCTGTATGAAATGTATGGATCCTAGCTGACGCTCGACTCAGATTCAACATGCCGGCGAAGCAATTACCCACATGCCAAATCTCAGGACTGAATGGGATGCACGCCCCTCCCCGACCGGACCTCCATCCATGCGGGATGTTGTTTACTTGCTCTGCAAATGCCCACTTGCCTCGTCAGCTTGCTCTGCCAATGGCTCCTCTCCGGCAAAAGGCGCTTCGGCTGCAGGGATCGCTCCATCCACCTTTCGGCAACTCAGAAAAAGTCCCTGGACTGTGTCAAGGCATAAATCGAGTCAGGCCTCTTCATCGAGCTGCGCTTCAGGGAGCCTGGACTGCTTTGATTCGGATGGGATGAAGCCTTGCCCTAAAGCACTGAATCCGACCCTTTTGGGCTTCCGATTAGTGACCCCGAAGTCCAAAACCTCCTGAAACCTCAAACCTCACAGTTGCCCGAGGCTAGCGTTTGCAGCTGGGGCTCTCTTCGACTGTGACCGTGTCCTCAACCTGTAAAGCACAGGCGCTGCTGTACTGGTGGGATACCAAGTCCTTGAGGATACAGGTGGCACCGGGAAGCGCCATACCAACCCGAGAACTTAAACTCAGCCAGGCCAGGTGCATGAGCATGTGAAGTAAAGCACAAACCAAGAAGACAAGGAAGCGAAGACATGCTTTATGGCAGGAGATGTATGGCTGCTATATACATGCATGCGCATACCTTGACACACACACACACATATACCTACCTACCTACCTACCTACCTACCTACCTACATACATACCTACATACCTACATACCTACATACCTACATACCTACATACCTACATACGTACATACATACATACATACATAGATTGATAGATAGATACATACCATACCATACCATACCATACCATACCATACCATACCAGACCTTACTATACCATACCATACCATACCATAACACAGCCTAACAGTGCATTACATTACATTACAATATATTACATTACACTACACACACTACACTGCCCTACACTACACTCCACTGCACTACACCACACAACACTACATTACATTAAGTTACATTACAGTACATTACATTAAATTACATTACATTATATTACATGCACACACACAAATATACATACATACATATATATAAATATATATATATATATGTACACTCATACGTACATGCATACGTACGTACATACACACGTACATAGGCAATGTTCCACACAGAACCTTCAGGTACGCCCGTGTGTAGGTGCAAAACGTGTGTTTACAATCAAGATACAGTGCATTGGTATGCATACATGCGAGTTTGATTTGGGTGTACACCTTTCACTCTGTCGATCTGCATATATGCGTAGATAATGATACACATGTGCACGCGTCCGTGCTTGCGCAAACATAGGACACAGGATGACATCTCCTGCGAAGGCTCAAGAGCAGCAATCCTCGCTAGGCAGCCGGTCCTTTCAATTCGGCGCTCCGGAAATTATACTCCTGATCCTCGCCTGCGCAAAGTTGGGGGTCTCGGGGGTATCGTCCGAGACGCCGACTCCTCGGAACGAAGTCACTTTAAGCTGCACTGGACCTTGTTTAATCCATGGTGGAACGTGGACCATCTCACTCGGTGAAGCATTGCCAAAGTGCTATGCATCGAAGATGCGTACCCTTCCTGCCCATAAGGTTAAACCGTCAAAATGTCGTATTGCGAGACACTAGAATAACTTGCAATATCCTGCATCAGATTGCAGCAGGCCAGTATAGATCCATGCTACCGAGCTGCCGGTTTCCAGTGCCGTTTCTGGCTGAGCCTCGTCCGGTGACCTGCGACACAAATCTAAGTTTGGATTCACTCCATCTGATGGCACTGCAGAGATGGATGTGAAGCAGTACGCATTGTGAGTGAGAAGTTTTGTGCTCGTACTCACGAAAAGTGAACCATGCCATCATCACGACAACAACACCTCCGACACCCGATTTCTGCCTTGTCACTCTGCTTTCCTTCACCAGGCCCCCACGATCCAGTGCGTGAAAACAAACTTTGAGGGCCCTGGTTCTTGCGGGAAGGAAAGGGCTTCCTGCTGGACATGCAACTGGACCTTCGGCTGGGGGAGCACCAGGCGGCTGAGTGCAAAGTCTTTGCTCATCGAAAGCGACTGAAAGGTCGTCCCCCTTCTTTACTCCCTGTAGATCCCTAAAACCATGGAAGACCATCTGCCCTATGTACACCCCGAAGATACCAGGACGACCAGGACCAGGACTACCACGTTGACCGCCACCTGCGCGACCAGCACCACCACCACCACTCGTGGATCACGAAGCGGAATAAAGGACGGAAGGCACCACCCCAACATGCCCCACGTGCACTGGCGGGAACATGAAGGACCCCAAGAAGCATCCCAGTGTGGCCATACTACATAGGATTTGAAGCACTTCGAGCGTCTTGAGGGCACCTTGTCCTTTCGGGATTCACAGACATGCCCAAGGTGCTTCCGTCTTGTCTGAGAGATTTTTCGAGCTTTTCGAGACAACCTTGTTTAAACTACTGGAATTTACAATTACAATGCAAGGACGCGACCGCACCGGGACCGTGTAAATCATGGGACCGACGCGCAAACCATGCATTCCGTTTCTGGCCTCCGTGCACCAAGTCTCTCTGCACACATTCAATCTCACGTAACGTGCCTGCTCGTGGAAAGCAGTCTGTGAGAAGCTTGATCCTGCTTCGGAAGAGGCTGCGTCAGAGAAGTGTCGGGTTTCGGGCTGCCGGCACTCGGAACCAAGCTTGTTTGCTGCTCACAGGTTTCCAGGCTGCTCAATGCAAGGAACGTGCGTTTAGCGGACAGTGATGCTCTGCAGAGTAACATAAACTCTCTTGCAAAAATCCGAAGGACAGGAGCAAAAAATAGCAGTGGATTGTCGGAACGCTACCTGCAGCAACTCGGTCGTCCGTGCCACGCAGAGCTCCCGAAGCTCTGGCGCAGCAACGGTGAGGCGGCAGACGTGGGCGACGGAGTCCTGTCTATCCATTCTAATCATTCCGTTGCTTCGAAATTCTCTATTGTTCAAGAGTGTGTGAGACACCCACAGGCATGAGTGTTGAGCAGGACTCCGTGTGGGTAGACCAGCTAGGTGCCTAGGCTTCTACATCACGTCACTGGAAGACTTCTCCCTTTCGCCACCTACCGGGACTTGATCAACTGCACACCCTACACGAGCAGCAGAATGATCCTACTTGATCACGAGCCAGCGCTCCAAGTGTGAACCAACAGATCAACTTGAGAATCCTAACAGCAGAAAAGAAGGGGAGTGAACTGAAGGAGGGCCGCACCTCGTTGCCTTCTTCCTGGGTCGCAAGCACGCCTTGCAGCTCGTCTGTGAGAGCCTGGCACGGTCTCTCCTCTCCCATCTTTCTGCTCTGCTTGACTCTGCTCCGCTTTGGGAATCCTAGGTCTTCTCCCTGCAGGGCCCGCGAGAGGAGCCTTTTTTGCCTAAGAAGCGCCGATTTGCGACAGTCGCGAACCCCTGCCACTTGCCACGAGTGCGCCGCCTGGAATTGCTCTTTCTGGCTCTCCGTTCCCGGCGCCTCAATGCCTCGGAGCCGGCTCTTCTACGCAACTGCGCTCACAAATCTCAGCCACACGACTGGCTGGCAGTGCAGACATGTGCAGACTTCAGAATTTATCGCGTCCTGCATACTACGCAGTAAACCGTGTATCGCCACACAGCATGGCCTTCTTGAATGAAATCACACCCTGGCTGTAAGGAGAGTGCCGAGGGTCGTCAACCAGTTCTCGATGTTTCCGGAAACCTGCCAAAAAAGGTGGCGTGATTCGCCCGTAGCAAGTACATGGAGACTGCTTGTCAAGTATTTTATAGTTGCAACGCCCCTACGTCCATGCCCTCCAGAAATTACACAGGCAACTGCCTTCACAGCTCGAGTGCTGCAGCGAAGCGGATCTCGCACTAAATCTTAAATCTATTTTGTTGTCGGAGAAGGTGCATTTAATAATAATTATTGTTACAACAACTTTTGCCAGAGTGCCAAGGCTTCCATCAGCGCATCAGTGACCAGCAGGAATTCGTTGACGAGCACCTGGTTGCTCAATTTCAATGATGACAGTGGTCACAGCAACCAACGCTCAATGGCACGTCTTGCTACGCCAAACTTGGAGATTGCCAGCTTTGAAACCCAGAAGAGATATCCATCCCTGGTCCTATCCATATCCGCCATATCTTTTCTTTCCTCTGTCGCGGCTCTGCCTCCGCCAGACTCGTCAGCTCGGAATCCTGACCACCGCCCGTGGCCTCTGCAAGCGCCTGCCCACAGCAAGGTTGCTTGAACTGACCCAGCGCACGACCGCGCCGATAGCGGTCATATCCAATTGTGACACAGCGGAAGCAGAGCAGCACTCATGAAGACTACATTTGACATGTGTATGTGTGCAGCTGTATATGTACATACATATAATTCTAAAAGCTACAAACGGCGAACCTCCCAAACGAGCTCCTCGGTCGATAGAGACAGCTGCTTCCGCACGATGGCCTTTCAGCAACCGAAGATCGTGGGTCCAACGCATGGTCGCTGTTCCAATCTGGGTTTGCACACTTCCTGCTCCCTCATTCCCACACAGACGGCGGATGCCAGGCAAAAGCTCGGACTCGGCTGAAAGGCCACAGATTCAACGATTGAGCGATGCAGTCATCAGAGGTTTGCACCTCCAGGTCCCTCTGCTCGTCCTCCCCTGGGCAATCGGGCGTTGCACAAATGAGATGTGGACACCAAGAGCCGTACATCCGAAGATTGAACACCCCGAGTCCTTCAACCGCTTGGTGATCACGGCCTTCATGGAACCTTCCAGGGGAACATCTTACATGGCATTCTGTAGACTAGCCGCTCCCAGCTTACACCTGAAAGACATGTAGCCTGAGTGGCACCCACAACATTCCATAAGTCCTATCCCGTGCTAAAACTGACCCTTTGCTGAGGACAAGGCCCGGACCATGCCTGGCCAAGATCCTCCAGACTCGCATACGCCGACGCCGCCTTAAAGCGGTCAACGACCGCGACCGCTGTCGTCAGTGCATATACTTCCTACAATCTAGAATCCACTCTTCTGGCGCTGTCTCTCGCTCCTGTAGAGCCTATTGAGCCCGCGACACAGCGTTGACTGGCATCCCGTGCACAAAACTTTAGCGTTCCCTCTGTCTGTCCTCATGCTGTCAACTGTCAACTAAGCTACTAATTCAGGCCAGACTGAGGCTCTGAGTTTGTCTAAGTCGCATCTCGCGGCTTCTCAGTGCGCTTGCCCAAGCCTGACCATCGGAAGCCATGCCCGCACAGAAACGGGACAGGGAAGGTGGCCGTGTATCAGTTTCTGATAGCTCTGCTTGCCGAAGCCCCCACGGTGCCTGGTGTGGAAGGAGACCGCTTCGTTTCTGGCCTCAGATCGAAGCCAAGGTTCCACCAGCGGCCCGGAGGCCACAGGCTTAGCAGATCTCAGAAGCCAAGAGTCACTCCAAGACACTGCATCTCCGGGCAGACTTCTGGGTACAGTCATGCGAACAACAGCTTGATCCACGGCACGACCCTGCTCAATTTGATGCTGTATGGTGTTGCCATTGAAATACGATTGTGAGAGCAGAAAGGCAGGGCCTCGCTTGCGGTGGCTTCTCTTGAGCAGGCAGGGCATAACCGTTGCAGATGTCTGGTAGCCAAAACCGAGAGCCCGACAGCGGCTGGCCGTGACGCTTCAGAACCACACGGAGAGCCCAGCCGAAGACCTGCAACTAGTTTGACATGACATGTCATTGTGCGGACGTAGAATGGCCCTAAATTGCGATGCGCCTCATCGGGGTCGGCCTCCCCAGCGCCCCGCTCGGCCAGGGAGTTCGTCAGACGTGCGGCCACCTGTTCTCCAGACGGTTTCAAGAGCTGCGTTGGTGTTTGCTCCGTGTCGATTTACAGCGGGCAGTTCTGGAAAAAAAGTCGTCTTGCGCAGCCGGCGGCAATGCACCCAAAAGGACATCCCAAAGCCCTGAAACAGTCCTTTCGACCTTCACAGACAAAAAAGCTCTTCGAGCCTCTCGAGCTTCCTGGAGAAGTGCTTGACTTTCTTCTGGCCCAAGGTCCGCATCCCAGCCAGAGGGCAACGACTTGTCCTGAAGAGAGCTCTGGGCTGCCAAGTGCATTTACGGTCGCACTTCGCCATACAGTACAAGTACTACAGCTACTACAGTGTGGTGAGGTGCCCTCCTCCGCGTCTCCGAACGCGACTCGCACCTTCCTACTTACTTGCATGCTTGTTTGTTTGGGACGCGCAAGTGTGGTGCCCTGCTAGGAAGGCACGGAAATCCGGATACTGCGCGGAATGCGAAGCATCAGTTAAGGTCGCTCAGATCCAAGAAGCCTCAGTAAAAACCCAATCCGAAGACTAAAGTATCCCCTTTCGAAGCCTCGGTGGGAGCGCTTCCTTCGACCTGGCAGTCTGCAGAATGACGCAGCAACTTGCCTGAAGTCCAGGCCGCAAGGCAGAAGAAGGCCTGCTCCGATGTGCCGAGCTGGGACCACTCCTGCGGTTATCAGCTCGGGCACCAGTTTCATTGATGACTGTCGGGGGTGCTTGCTGGTTCTTGTCAGTGTTGTTCTCGGGCATTGACACCAGTGACCTATGGTGGGTGTTGTACTTGTCGCGCTCATGACAATGCTGATCCAATACTTGAATGCTCGATGCCTGCAAGACAGCAGCAGCATCATTGTCTTCGTAAATGTGCACCAACAGCGGATGGTAGCCGAAGGCTTTGACCATAGCAAGAATGATCTTGACGATGAAGAAACGGCCTGTTGCTGCTAGCGGTATTGCAAGAGTAAATGCTTTAGTGTCGCGGATATAGTTGCTGTCGTTGTGCTACTGCTGCTGCCACGGCCTGCTGTTGGAGTTGCCGCTGTTGTTAAGGCTTCTGTATTCTGTTCAAGCTTTGCTTCAGTGTTCGCGGCCTGCCCCCTACCTCTGCCACCCTCAACACTCATCGTCAGCCCCGCCTCCTCCTCCAGGTAGCCCTTGCTTTGTACATCGAGGATGTCCCAGAGGTCCTTGGCCGCACCCTCGTATGCCTCGGACCGAAGTTCGGGAGATCTCATGCCAAGTATATAGAAACGGTCCGTGAGGGGTACGTCGTTTCTTGTACAATGCCACGACTGGCGATGCTGCTGATGCTGATGTTCAAGACGACAAAGGCAAGGCACAGAAGATGATCATGTTGATATGGCGGGAATGGCGGTGCTGCTGCCGGTGATGATGTGCTCCGGGTGATGACGCCCACTGTATGTACTTGTTCGTTGTTGTTATTGAAAATATTCATGATGTTGCGGCTGATGTTCGTGGTGGTGCTGCTGATTGTGCTTGCTTTGTTGTTGATCGTGCTCGTTTGCCTCTGTTGTGATTAGTGCTTGTGGTGTTTGTCATGGATGGCGAGATATCGTTGATGCATGACGAAAATACAATGGCGCGGAAATGTCGGAGAAGCCACAAGAGTATTGCGGAACAGCGGTACTTTGGTTGGACAGCTAGAACCGGGCCGAAAGCCTCGCTGCCATTACTAACCTGCTTTCGTTATTGAAGCTGGCTGGGTCTTAGGATTGCGAAGGTTTTTGCCGTAGTGCTGTTTGCTGTTTACTCAGGTGCTGATGTCGTACCTCAAGGCAGTGATGTTTGGGGCAGCTGTATGCCAAGGTCGTTGAAGCAAACAGGTGGTGACTGCACAGTTTTCTCTCTTCGGTCCACAGTGTTCAATCATCAAGCCAAGCAGGGCACAAGGTCGTTGGCCACAACTTGCGCGAAGTTGTCGAAGGAGATCACCCCACTGGCCAAGCAAAGCTTGAAGGAGTTGTCGAGATTTCTGGTACGAGTATGAGTCAGTATGAGTAATCTATGACTCTATGTCTGAACATGACCGATCGCAGTGCCAGTCTTCGACGAGCTCTAGTCGAAATGCAGTCAACACAAATCAGGTTTAGCGGCGCATTATTTGGCTTGCCGGTGACAAGAGCTGAAAGGCAACTGTCCGTCTCCTCATTCCCGGTTCTCACCAAATGCCACCAACAGAAATACATGTCAGTTCCATACCCGTCAGCGCATATTATCATCACATGCCATGGTAGTGGTGCTATGAAGATCTTCTAGCACAAAACAGAAGTCATTAGCATCACAAGTCGGGCCTGCCCTCCACATCAAAGTGGGCGAAGGCTTCCTGTAGACCTTCCGCAGCTTGGGCATTAAATCTAGGCTTCAGGCTCCTTTGTTCGTTGTTGCGTTTGGGCTCGAAAGACGATCATCCTGATCTTTCAACAATATACTGAACGTGCAAAAGTTGCTCCGACCTCACGAATTCAACTACTGTATCTCCACACAAAGCTTCCGAGGTAAGCCGGCCACTGACGCCCCAGGTGTTCGAAACCAGCTGGGAGAAGGCCGTCAGGATCCCCTGACAGGTTCGAACCATACGAAATCTCTGCTGTGTAGGGGACAGTCCTGCTGCCATGCGTTGCAGATATCAGGGGTGGAGCATGCTAGGACGAAGTTCAGGCGAACGGATGTTCGTGTAGCTGTAGGCGAGCAGCAGCAGGCGAACAAGTTCAGAATGCAAACCACAAGCTGAGTCTACTGAGACAAAGGTAAGCAGTAAGCACCTCGAACTAGCGTCGGAAGAGCATCTATCTTCGAGTAGATGAGTAGAGACCAGTGCCAAATGCAAAGACAGTCAGGCAGCAGAACCTGACGTTCAAAGATGACACCACTTCAGCCTTCTCATGCCCAGGTCATGCTGTGTGCATGTGCACAGCGGCCTGGTTGCCCTTTCGCTCCTTCCGCTGTGACGCGATGCATCGAGCCTACACCGTGTGTTTGGGTTGTCGCTGCTCGCTGGACTCTAGCAGCTCCGAGATTTCTCGTGCGTAACGGGCACCAGCAGGAGACCAAGCAAGAGATGTCGCACTATGAGGTCTGTGTGAAGCTTTATCATCGAGAGCTTCGAAACAGGAGCCATGAAGCTACCCGCTCCAATTTGGACTGAGGATTCGGCTTTGCGATACTCTTGCGTACAGAGGAAGAGAAACCGGTCCCAGTCGATTGGGTTCGCACCATCACCTTCCAGGGAAGCCACAAATAGGGCACAGGGCGGGACCGCAACTTGCCATGGGAGACAAAACTGAGTCAAGCATGCCTGTTCGAACTATCCCTTGGTGCTGCTCCTGCATCCGCCTCGACACTGCCGATTTCTTTGACTACACTTGAGAACTGTTGAAACCTGTTGAATCCCTATCCCTGCCGTCTGCAAACGCGCTGCCTGACTCCTGCTTCACTCGGGCACAGATGGTGGCCTTCGGCTTCGTCACACCGGGAACCACACCCGTCTGTTTATAGATTCTAGATGCTACTCGGGTCCAGCGCAATTACCACAGCTTCCTGCGTCATCAACATTGTCATGAAGCCATGTGTCAGCATGTCACCCAGCCCGACACCTCTCTTTCAGCATCCGTCCAGGCCGGTCACACGCACAGTGTGGCAAATTTAAGAACTGAAGCTGTCGGAAAAGAATTGAAGTTGCGGGAATTGGGGGAATGAACATGAAGTCTCCTCCACCGGCCTGGACGTTCTCTTATCATCTAAGGCTTCAGCGGCTTCAGTCTATGTGCCAGGAAACGGCCTTCAGGGAGTCGGGGGCTTCCTTGTCGATGCCCTCACGCACGGCCGCCAGGGCCTACATGCGCGGGTCTCAGAGGTCTCAAGAGTTTGGGTCGTCCTTTGATGCCGCCGGAAGGCCAATTGAAGAGGGAGTGCGTATGCAAGACGTGTTTTCTCACACTCGTGGCACGATACGCGTGGAGTTGTCAAGGAATCTTCTTGACGAGTATTGACTTGGACAAGCCGCTTTATCCCGTACAGCATGTCGACGAAAGAGCTCATGTTAGGATAGAAGTCTGTGCAGCATTGCAGGTCCCATCGGTGACTTACGACAGAACCTAATGTGTTTCTTGAATGGCCTGAACCCTCACACTGCGCGAGACAGTCACAGAACACCTCGTACCCAGACTCTCTGAGTGGTTGCGGACTCGCCCCGGATTCGTGGCACCAGGAGAATACAAGTTCTACCGACACATGGGCAGTCGAGATTCAGTTGCTGGGTTCTTCCAATGTGGCACCCATCCTTGCAACAGAAAGAGGGGGTTTATTCCTTCCACTCTCAGCACCTATGGCGATCTGGCGATCTACAGGCCTTCTTCAGCGCCAGTTGAGGTCGCGCACCAGGTGGCACTGAAGTCTTTGAGACCTGCCAGGCATGAAGCATCAGAAGGCATGCACTTGCAGTATGATGTTGAACCACCTCGTTCAACAATTCTCACACCAGCCAATCATCTGCTTACGCAAGGAGTGATCAAGCATCTAAAGTCAGCCAGTCCCGGACCACCTGCCGAATGTCTTTGGGTTCTCACGTCGGTGCCGTGGCCGTGGCAGCTGAGTCTTCTGACGTCCTCTTGAACTACTCTGAACGAGCCACGAGCCTGTCCATCAACGGTGCGAGGACGTGCCTGATAGAAGCGAACAAGATACTGCAAACAGCTTTTCTAGGAGTCTCAAGCACAATGTGGAGCTAAAGCTGATACTCAGGAGGTTGCTGTAGAGCCGTGCTATATTGCCCTGTGTCGACGCTTCGCAGTGTTAGTCTTTGTGGCCTCTCACTACAACACACTGGTCTGGCAGTCTATTTACCTGCGTGAGAGGCGTTGCATGTACGTGGGTCGAAGGCCCCGGCAGCTCCTGCAAGAAAATGATGGCCCGGCGTGAAGCCCTGGGAAAGGTTGTGTTCCAGTGGCTGTGGATTGCACTGTCATGGAGGTCAGAAGGGCGTCAGAAGAGTGACGCAGGATAAGCAGCAGCAGATGCGTCCCCTAACCCAGCATGCCTCATCCGGGAAGGATCCTTCACCCCTGCAATCCCAAAGCTGCAAAGTGGCAGACCCTGCTGAACTCGGCCCAACGAAGCGGCAAGAGGACTCAGACTTCGACCAACGCTTCGGCCGGTACGCTTCAGACTACGATTCACAGCTCTTGCCTCCAATGCCAGGAGCTACTATAACTGACTTCCCAAACCCCAAGATCAAGAACAGCCCTTCCCGACCTGGTTCATCTTCCAGGCCCTCAGCCATGTCCCGCGTGGGATGGTCATCTGTCGCGCTGCCGGGCATGAGGGCTCTGGGCAACCCAAGTTCCAAAACTGGAGCTGAGGCGCTGCTGTGTCATCCAAGCCCCACCAAACACCCTACAAACCTCCACCCTCTGCAACCTTGTTTCCAAAAACACCAAGCTTTCCATCCAGCCTGGCGAGCAGCCCAGCGCATCTCCAAGTAGAACAAGGCGTCGATTGCATCGTAAGACTCCTGGCTTTGAGGCGTGTCACTTGCATTCACGGGCTTTGGGTCTTGTAGGTGGTTAGTTCAGGCTGAACTCTTGGACTATGTTACACGTTTTGAGGTTCAGGGTTTGAGCTTCCGCCCTTTTGTGTGGGATCTGTGCAGACCTCTCCGACCACTCGTCATGGTGTGCATACTGGAAGGCTTTGTGCTGGTGGCCTTTGTGCAAAATTTCAATCGGTAAGCCTTACCAAGAAATTCTCAGTATGCACCTCGAGGAGTGCATGTCCCAGAGCGCAGAACCAAACCGCAAACGAATGTTGCACCCCATCCCAGGGCCCAAATAGCTTTGGCACAGTTGCAATCCCTGCAATGCGAACTTCGAAGTCTTGACATCCCCTCAACGAAATCACCTACAACGTCCTGGAACCACCTGGAATCCTAGGCAGATCTAGGCAGCAAACGGCATATCGTACAAGCCGATTGCTCTAACCCGCCCCTTGCTCCTCCAGGAAACGTGCAAAGGTTTCGATGCCCTCGTGCTCTGCCCGGTGCAATTCGACCTCATGCCAGCTTCAGCCAGCCGTCTGTCTTTAGCAAAGAAGTGACATGAATAACATCGGTAATCCTGGAACCTTTCGTAGGATTTGGCACCAGATCGCACCACCACCTCTTCAACCAGCTGCAGATAGCAGATAGCAAATGCTTGTCTCAATGATGCATTCGAGCACCCGTTTGTTGATTCATGGTTTGTTCATGAAGCAGTAGAAGCAGCGCCCAGCAAGTGCAGCAGCGGCAGCAGCAGCAGCAGCAGCGGCAGCAGCCGCGGCAGCAGCAGCAGCAGCAGCGGCGGCGGCGGCAGCAGCAACAACAGCAACAACACCAACAACAACAGCAGCAGCAGCAGCACCAGCACCAGCACCAGCACCAGCAGGAGCACGAGCACCACCAACAGCAACAAAAACTGCAACCACAATCACAAGCGCAACCACAGCGACGAAGACAATGACAAAGACAAAGCGGCTGCTCCTCCTCATCCTCCCCCTCTTACTACTACCACTACCAGCACCACCA